TACATATGTCCCTGGAAAAGAGTAGGGAGACATCCCTTTGTACAGGGGGGCTGTGGCCGATGTGCTGTCCCACAGGTCATGAAGCAGATGGAGTTAAGAAAAGGTAACACACTCCTAGGGAGAACACTTGAGAAATTACAGTTCACCCCATTTCTAGCCCAGATTAGGTACTATCTAGGAGCAAGCAGAAGTAGTAGTACCTAATAGCAATTTATTTTGGTCGAATCTGTTTTTCTTCTTCTATGAGCCTAGCCTGGGTAGCACTGAAATCCATCAGCTGCAGTGGGCTTTGGGTGGAAGCTTGTGGAAGCTATCAAGCCTGAGGATTTGTTTGACTCTCAGAAAGGCGGAAGCAGAAGGCTCTCCTGGCCTTTCCCAGGTGTCTAAGCAAGCGTCTGTCAGAACTTGGTGCCTCCACTCCACCGAGACTGCATCTGAAGTCTCCTTGTGTTCCAAACTGAACCAAAATCCCAACAGCCCATGGGGTGGACATTCCTCAAATGACACAGTTTAGAAATTATTAGAGATGTCCAGATGTCTTATCTCAGTTTAGTTCATAGTAATTAACTTAAAATATCAAAAGTAAGTGCTTTATCTATGATTTGGAAAATTTCTGGTTAATTATTTCCTGACTAAGTAATTGGTATTTAAGTGAGGAAGGTTTCTACTAACTGTAAAACACTCTATCCAAGCAGCCTTACATGTACAATTACTTTGCACAGCAGACAGCTCTAGATATGGGTAATATAGGTATGACCTACATTGATCACTGGATACCTTCAAAGTGCTAAAAAACTTTGGTAATAACTGGGAAGGAGATTTATGACTGTACCTCTAATTCTGTGTTTCTTTTTATATGGCAGATGGAATAACCTGTAATGGAGGAACAGCTCCAGCTTCCAAAACCTGTAGCATACTTTAGACCTATTATGAATGCAATACATGCCACCCAAAATGAGAATGCCCATGCTTTTTAAAAAAAAAAAAAATATCATGGCATACAAATACGTTCCTGATTGGACTGTTCTGCTACTTTAATTAGGCTTATGACCAACCAGGGAAGGGCTAGATCTCGTTTGCCTTAACTGCATCTCTTCCTGATGGTGAGGAGCCAGTTCTGTCCTGTCTCTTGCTCCATTTAATGCACCTGATGTCAGGTGGCATATGGCAAGTCAGAACAACATTTGGCCCAATAAATCAGACTATGGAAGAGCATTTCTCCTGCACTGAAACACTTCTTACCCCAAAGCTGATGGGGCCAGTTGAATTCATATCCTGCTCCATACAACCCCATGTGATTGACAATGTATGCAACCACAGGCCGTAGAGTAGGAAAACTGAAGAGCCAAATTTATCATATATAAGCCTGTACCTGTTAGGATATCAGAAAGAAATCTGTGGGTAGGAATAAAGGACAAAACCTGACCATAGTAAACCTTTGAACTGCTCTAAAAAGTTATGATTCCATGTAAATCCAAGAAACATTCACAGAGATAATAGTTCTGCGCTCACTTCAAGAATTTGGATAGGTTGCTGCTCTAAAGCATGGAGCCATTCGTGCAACACCCAGTAGCTGTCACCTTCACGAGCAGGATCCAAACTGTGCGCTAACCGAGGCTTCGCTCTGTAACATGTGATTGTAAGAAGACAGTGTTATCATTACCCATCACAGTTACAGTTACCCAAGCAACCTAAATCGTGGCGTCTCCTAAATTTGTTCTGTTTTGCCGCATAATGCCAATGTTATTTAATGCAGTCCTCTTCCG